GTATTATGTGTTAGTCCACCATCGTCATTCTTAATATCATTATGTTGACTTATTTCTAAGCTCTCGTAGGCATCTTGATGCTTGTTGTAAACTTGTCTAACTAATCTTAATGAATTAAAGTCTATGAAATAGTTTTGTTGCAAAACATGGTGGGTGATTGCGCTGATTTTTCTGGTCTTCCATATTTTATGTGTGCTATGTGTTCCTTATATCTTACTTCAATAGATCTTTTTGTCTGTCCATAATATTTTGCATCGCAGTCCTTACATTTACTTTCGTAAATTCCAGACTTTTCCGAATTCTGGTCTTTGCTCTTTGGATTTCCTAAAAGGCCCTGTAGTGTATGACTTTTTTCAAATACCCCCTCCTAGTTCCTTGAAAATCTTCGTGAATAGTGGTATGAAACTGAGATATATTTATCTTTTCGTCGTTTCTGAAAGTCGAAATTTCGTTCATTCTTAACCTAAACTTTCTTTTCCTTATAATATCTGTAGTATCTGAGGTATATGTAGTGTCTGTGTTAATATCTGTAGTATAATATCTGTAGTATATATCTGTAGTATAATATCTGTAGTGCATGACTTGTTTCAAATACCACCTCCTACTTCCTTGAAAATATTCGTGTATTGGTGGTATGAAAATGAGATATATTTATCTTGGTTCTCGTCGTTTCTGAAAGACGAGATTTCGTTCATTCTTAACCTAAACTTTCTCTTCCTTATAATATCTGTAGTATTTGTAGTAATATGTAGTATCTGTATCTATATCTGTAGTATATGTAGTATCTGTAGTGATATCTGTAGTATATCTGTAGTATAATATCTGTAGTGTACGACTTGTTTCAAATACCAATGGCAAAGCCATTGCTTCGCTTGAACGGTATTTTTTTTCTTCAAGAAGCAGTGCAAAATCAAAACACGAAATTGTTTTGGAAATAACAGAAGTAGAGTCACTATTATCACAATAACTCACAAACTTATGAGTAGAATATAATGAAATTTCAACAGCTATGAGTTACATACCTACGTATATTTAAAATATGTTTTCTTTTCAGATGTCATCCACCAACGAACATCTTCAAGCGACGCCAAAATCGAGAATGTCCCCCCTGGAGTTCCGTAACACGGATTTAGTATCCAGATTGTTAGCTGCTACTCCTCCTTATCTTTACAATATGTCATTGTTGCCGAATACATATTTCTTCAGTGAAATGTTGCGATCCCTTGTTCACGCCAAAACTGAAAGAAATGCGCAAATGCAGCCCCCTATAAGGAGGTCTAGGAAAAGAAGTTGGGCATCTTCCCGGTCGGAAGGCTTCATCAAGGCAAACGTGGAACCGAAGTCCGAAGATCTGCAGGAAACTTCTGCTGACTGGATGCTGAAAAGTAATAGAAAACCAGAGGAAAACCCGTTGGAACTGACTATTAATAAAACAGAAAATTCTGAAGGTACTTATCAGAATAATTCGAGAAGTGAACCGCACATTAACGAGCAGATGTTTCCAAATATACATCCTAGCATAGCTCAAGAGGGAAACATCCAGAATTTGGTTTTGCCTCCTCCTCCTCCTATGTGGTATCCTCCTTTATATCCAACTCCTCCTTACGGTATCGATCCTTTACATTTCTTCATAGATCTCAGAGTTTCCGGGCATATCTATGATAGGAAAGATCCTAAAGAGGTTGCACCTCCATTGGATACTTTTTCTCCTGGCAGTTCGAAGGAAAAACTCCCCCATACAGAAGTTTCTGAGGTAAAAAATGAAATAGAAACCAAAAGCAGCATATTTAGGCAGCCGAGACACTGTTCCGCGTTCTCTGTTCCCGTTCCAACTGCTAGCAAGGGTTTGGACCCTGTGAATATAACCGATAAAGAAAATAGATCTACGAAATTCGATGTCAAATCAATGGGATTCGATAAAAGCACAAACAAAACTAGTACAACTTACATAATGAGTAATTTAACAACTATTTATAAGAATGTTGGCATGATGAAGGAAGGTAGCAAAGATAATCCACAAGAAAATTTAGATGAAACTGAGGAAGAAAGAGAAAAAAGAGTCAAGGATTTGAGAGCGCTGATTGGTTTGGAACTAGTTGTGGACTATATGAAACACAAACCAACAAAAAGTGATCAAGAATCATTCAGTTCAACGGATGGGGAATCTATTGGGAGTCCTACCCTTGAAGTGGTTGCTTTACAAGACGAAAATTGAAATTATATGTGAAATATCTAACTGAATTGGTAAATTTATTTATATTTATTGATGTATTAGGGTTCACAGTGGGCCAATAGCTTTATTATGTATATACTGTAAAGGAATCGAACTCGAAGACAAAACTAAAAGTAGCCTGACTTCTTCTGCAAACATTTTTGGCAAAAGAGGTCGGGCTGGTTTATTCTGTTTTTTCTTGTTTCCATTGTTTTTTTTTTCAGAACGCGGTAAAGAACCTAAAGATTTGAAAAATGTTTAAATACATAATATATGGACCAATGTCTTTTCCTCTGAAATAGTATTTTCTCAGTTTGTTTATAATCGTGAAATATATGAATGATTTGAAAGTATCCTTGAAAAAAAATAGTATCACACAGGAATATATTAATGGACACTCGATGGTTATTACCGTGCATGCTGTTTTCTATTATAGAGAACTAGAGTAATATATTACCAGATCGAGGATATCAGTGTTTTTTTTAAATATCGCCGAAAACTAGAACTGTCAAATTTCGTTTTGTGGCTCTACCTCTCCCATTTCGAATGATCAGCTGAAAAACGTCCTGTATAAATAACTTCAAAATACATTTTGAAAAATTATTTGGCTTGGTATCAGGCTGAGACATATACCTCGATGGAAACTTGACAAACAATGAGTATTTCATTGGTGTCCAGAGTTTAAGATAGTACAGTAAAAGTAACATTGTTATGTATGTTGATCTTGTAAATATATATAGTAATTAGTCAAAAAATAAATGAATGTATTGAAATTTCTAGTCAGTAACCAAAAATATATCTTGACTTTTCCGTATACCTATGTGTATTTTCCTTTTTATCCTCTCAGTTGATTCCCAAGTCGAAGAATCCATGACGGATGAGTTATACTATCAGCCGTTTTTCGTAAGGTAAGAGTTCGAATATTTCTGGAACGTTTTGACTTTTTTATAAAAAAAATGTGGGAATCTTCAAATCACGCCAAGAAGTAACTTCTAGACAGAAACTAGAATTAAAAGCCCTCACGAAATAACTACTTCCAGTTTTTCTTCCAGTTTGTGTTTAAAAGTTACTTCTTGGCATGATCTTCATATCTCTGTAAAGAGTTCAACTCTCTTCATTTCTTCGGAAGATTTTCATATGTTTTTGTATGAAGATGGAGAAGTAGAAAGCCAAATCATTTCTCTCCCAAAAATTAATCTCTACTGAAAAATACTTCTTTTAATTTCTATAAGATTCTTTCAGAACAGAATGTAGAGATTTCAGGACTTGATACACTTTCACGTTAATGAATTTTACTTGTTTAGTTCGAATGTTTTGTTACATTACTGTCTTTTTCATTTCATCATTCTGAAGTGAGTAATGAAAAAATATTTCCCAAGGCAATGCTTTGTGCCCCACTTTCTGGTACACAACAAAAGTATTGCTGTTTTAGACATTCTTATTTCATATGCTGAATATTCAGCAAAAAAATATATATGAGATACAAAACATAGGAATACGTACACAGAGAAGAAAAAAACGTACATGATATAGGAAATCATCTTAACTCAACTTAGCGTGAACATATTATACTCTTTGAAAGATATTTTCTTCAAATGTAATTCGTTATGTATTATTATTCAAGAGTACTTTGAGATCGAATAGATACAGTGTAACCGAGATCAACAAGGCCATGAAACTGAAGACTTTTACAAGTCAAAATAGGGAGGAAACTCAAACGGTTGCACGGGCATTTCTACCGAACATCCCCAGGGTTACAGACAGAGTCGGAAAAATCTTAAGAGAGCATAAAATAAAAACAGCGTTTAAGCCCACCCGGAAAATTCAACAAAGCCTTAGATCTGCGAAAGACAAAAGAGATCCACTATCAGCTGCGGAAAAGTTTATATCGGTGTCACCAAAAGATCCGTTAGTAGTAATAAACATCGGAGAAACTGTAGATTAGGTCAAATATACAAATCGAAAGTAGAGGAACACGGGCTTAATGAAGAAGACCATACGATAATGTTTAAAGATGTGAAACTACTTGCCCCCGATCATGGATACCACAGTCGGCTTGTAAGGAAATACATAAATACATAATACAGAAAATACATGGAAATACATAAACATACAGAGAACTATAACAGAAAAGAGGAGGCGGTAATGCTCAACCGGATTTGGAAGCCCATACTTAAAAATGCTAAAGTGGCAACAGCGTAATGCAATGTCACGGCTCTCAGAGACGACAGGTCACTCATTAATAACTCGAGTATAATACCGGTATCAATAACAACTCGCTAACAGGTACGGCGGGGATAGATACGTCATTAACAGGTAATAACACTTTTGACAATAACAACACATCAACAAAAGAGGCGAACTAACTGAGTCGACATGTATGCAACCTATCAACTAGAAATTACCAGTCATCAGTGAATCATCAAGATGAATAAAACTCTGAAGAAGGCAGCCAAGATGGCGAAACGTTAGGTTGCAGTTCCAAAATACGACGGCCTCAAACCCGAATGAAAATGGTAACACCGATTATCTATCAACTTTGCACATTTTGTTCAAATCTTGTTTATGTCTTCAGTCGTTCAAAAAGTCTCACACAGTATTCGGTTGAATTTTAATAAGATTATAATGGAAACAGTAAAGCTGCAGGCCATCATTTTGTAACCACATGCAAATTAATGTTGGGATAGGTTACGCTTTTGGCGGAACGCTTTTCATTCCGTCAGTTATGTAAAATGTGTAAATTTTGTGGATATTCTCACATACTGCATGTCGTTTCAACTTTTATGAATATTCATAGAAAGTAAATATTAACGGGGAAAATTTTATTTAAACCATCACCCTTTGTTCCATCATCCTCTCTGCTTTTGTCGAATGAAGAGTTTTTGAGAGCAGGGATTAAAAACAGTGTTTGAAAAGGGTTATACTTTTCAGGGATATTCTGGTTTATATCGAGCGTATCTTCAGTTTTTTTTTCAACCAGCAGAGATGCAAAACTTTGAAAGGCAAATTCATACGCAACGTAGTTCTCTCTCACTTACTTTCGTAGAAACTAAAATAATTTGTGGAAAACGAAACCTCAATATTCATCACAAACCCGTTCTCTTAATTTCATAACATTTCGAAGTCAATGAAGGTTTCACATATAGTCAGTAGGCATACTTGAAGATTGGCTATAAATCAAGCCAGTCTCAACTCCCTACACTGTAGGTTAATGGACTGATACCTATCAGAAAACAACTACTCCCCTGGCCAATACCACGAAGGTCGTTGGATTACAACCGATAGGTGTCAGTGTAGCATTCTTCACTGAAGTTATTCCTGCATATGCATATGTACAATAGATTTTCAATTATTGGAACATACTTGCAGACCGGTTTCGGGCTATTTGGCCACTCGTCAGTGCAATGTAGTGTCTATCATCAACATAAAGTCAATGATTTCCGATAATTGAAAATCAAATTCCTCCAGATTATCATTCCCCGAACTAGGCTGAAGCAGACAACAACATGTTCGTCAACGCCCCATCTGACCGTGAACGAGGTAACCAACACATATCGAAAATTGGCTCAATTCCTCGTATAAGGAAGAAAACTACACCTGTCGGATAAAATCCAACGCCCTTCGTGGTATTAGCCAGGAAAATAGAAAATAGAAATAGAAAATAAATAGAAATTTTTGTTTTGTTTAATGAGAAGAAGTCCAGATCGACTCTATTACCACCAATAGCAACTCTGGACAGCGGAGAGTGTTTGCCAGTCACAACGATGAAAATCTATAGCAAATGTTTATGTATGCCTTGTACTTCTGGAAGAAACACGTAAGCCAATTTGTGCTAGCAGTGCAGGGAGTTGTTAAGGAAATTTGAAAATTGGAATAAGAATTTTAAGGCAGTTTCAACTCTACGACTATTTAGCTTCAGTATACTGACGCCCAACGAATATCTTCTAATGAACGGCCCTTCAAAGGTATTTTTTAATTAAACGCAAAAAATTTAAGGAATATGTTTTGTACCCGTTCAATTTTAAGTGCATGACTTTCATAAGTCGGCGACCAAATGGAACTGCAATAATCTAAGACAGATCTTACCAGGGTAACATGCATCATCTTTATACATTCAATATTTAAGTCCTTGAAAGTACGACAAATAAAGCCTAGCATTTTTGTTGACCTGTTTATAAAATGATGATAATAGGTATAAGTGAAAGTCCAATTTTTTTGTACCCAAATCGGTTACAAATTCGACACAAGATGAAAGTTATTGTAAATATGTTGTAATCATAGTTTATAATTTTTAATACTCTATAGAATGGCATACATTTACATTTATTCACGTTGAAAGTCATACTATTTTGTGAACGCCATCCACTTAATCTACTTTAAGTCTGTTTGTAATGCTAAGCAATCATCTGGTGTTTAAACTGTCCTAAACATTTTTAAATCATCTACAAAAAGTCTTCACTTTCCCAACATACAGGTCAATAAGGTATAATTACGCCGCTTGCGAGAAGCAGTACGAAGTTTACATATTGAGGAAAGTTTAGGGCTCTTGGCTAGGAACTAATTCATGAGGATCCACAGTATCAAACGCTTTCGATAGGTCAAATAGAAGGGATACAACATAATTTCCATCAACAGTCTTTTGCAAGAAGCCATTTCTGTAAATCTTTTGTTTCTGAATACATGTTCAATATCACACAGTAAATTATTTATTTTGAGGTAGGATGTGATACGATTGGCTACTATTTTTCACAGATTTCAGATAGCGGTGTTTGTAAAGATATCTTATATTTCTTGTTCATCTTTAAATTAAATATATTTCTTGATACAGTAATCAAAGCAGAAGAATCATGAAATACAAATGAATTGACAGAATTTAGTTCATAGAAAAGAAGAAAAAAATAACCTCAAAGGTGCTGCATCATTGCCTCCTGTTCATAAAAAAGGACATATGCCTCACCACTACAAGCGATTTTGATGAAATTGGGGACACGTGTGAATCGTTGTATTCATGCCACGTGCCAATATATAGGTGTATGCTGTGTAATGCCCGTCGTAAGTAGTCCCAGTGTGATTCGAAAGTGCATATATATTATAACGACAAGGAACCACAATGTCTGCTGCATAACTGC